TGTCAACTCCCTGCCAGGGGAGCTTTGGCCGGGCCCCTTCCCTTGCCAATGCCAGCTTGGCAGGGACAGGAAGTTAGGAGCCTGGAGGCCCTGGCATTCCCAGCACCCAGCTCTGGCTGGACAGGGCTCCTGGTGACATCACTTCCTTCACTTCTACCAAACCAGTTGATCTTCTCCGGCTCCACCTTCTACCTTAGTGCTGAATTGTGCCCTTTATCTGTCCAGAGAGGATCCTCCTGGCACCATGGACAACCCTGCCACACACTACTACCAGGTGCAAGCTGCAAGGGCCCCGGTAGACCCAGGCCCTGCTCCCCACAGTCTGCACCCTGAGGCTTCCCTATTGCACTCTCTGGGGACAGGAGGCTCAGCACAACAACTCCTGTTATGCCAGCTGCCCCTCCTGCAGCTGGTCTAAACTGGGATCGTTTGGGGAAACACCAAACATGGACAAAAAGCAACCAACCTGCTTGCTGTCCAGGCCCTACAACGTGTGTAAGACCGTGAGCTCTGCTGGGGCTGCACAGCCATGTGCCTCCTTACCTCCTCCTGCCTCTACCCAGCCATCGCCCTCCTTCTCCACCAAGATCCACCCTCCCCTTCCTTCAAGTCCACCCTCCCCCTCCTTGATAGAAGCCAGCGCAAACTCTTCACATTCCTGAGGATAGTAAATCCTCTTGGGTGGCACAGCCATCACTGAGAGATGCTTCAGCCCCTCCTCCTGCACGGCACCCTCACGGCCTGGAAACTGTGGGGGCTTCCCCACTCTGGCTTAGAAGTCACACTAAGAAGTCACACACTTCCCCACTCTGGCTTAGAAGTTCAGGAGGATGAAGTCCAGTCGGATTTTAGTTAATGACATACACGGGCGGGTTGCGTGGGGAACTTCCCCACGCCAGAGATTGCTATTCCTCTAACTTACTAAAGCCGGGGTCGGAGAGAAAGCAGGCACCTCTGGGGTGGAGAAGCCCCCTTCTTGGCCCAGTTCAGGCTGGCGTGGCCAAGAGTGCCCCGGGAAGGGAAAGGATTGAGGAATTCCGAGGAACGGGAGCAGTCTTCAAAAAACCAGAGGAAAAGGGTGCTTAACTCTCTTGTGCCGTGCCCTCCTAAAGGAGGGCAGGAGACAAGAGGTTTGCACACAGCAAAGACGCTCAGGCTCCCAGCCCAGCCTGGGAAGGGGGATGGGGTCGCGGCGTTCCTATCGCCAGGCTGCCGGGTCGGCGGGCGGAAGCAGTCTCCCCCACGCGGGTGGAGTTTCAGAAAGTCGGCAGACTCAGGGCTGGATGACCAGGACGCCAGAGTCTTTCCCCATCCTCCTCTCGTTTCTTTCCAGCCCGCGCTCGACTTACCCGCTCCGAGTGGCTCTTCTCAGCGTCGCGTGGCTCTGGCGCGGTGGCCCGCGGCTCATTTTCGTCGCCAGCCCCCTGCGCTTCGGTAGCAGCTGGAGGCTCAGCCTGCCCCGGACCTTCCTGGGCGCGTAGCAGCTCCTCCCCGACCTGGACGCCGAGCTTCTGCAGCTGCTGGTCGGTTTCGGGGTCGACCACCAGCAGGCGTACGGCGTTGAGCGCTGCACGGATGCGGCTCACCACCTGCTGGTGGGTCTCCTTCTCCACGTTCTCGCCGTTCACCTCCACCAGACGGTCCCCGGCCAGCAGCCCCGCCTTCTCGGCCGGCGAGCCGGGCTCCACCAACCGGATGAACTGGCCCACTTTGCCCTTCTCCCCGTGCAGGTGAAAGCCGTAGCCGTTTGGACCCTTCTCCAGACAGCAGAGCCGGGGTAGGGGCGCCCCGGCTGCCGCGTCCGAGCTCATCTTGCCCTGCGACGGCTCAGCAGCGTCAGGGGTCGCGTACTGGACGGCCAGTCTTTTTCCCGGTCCAGCAAACCGGGAGGTGGGAAGGAGAGAGGCAGGGAGCCCGTGAGCCACCGGACGGGAGGAGCAAGCAGGTGTCCCGGGAACCGCCGGCTGCCGCGAACCGCCAGAAGCCAAGAAGCGAGCGCGAACCAATCCCTGCCCCGCGCGGTATCTGAGCGTCCCAGAACCCGCCCTGGCCCCTTACCCTGGGGGCGGGGCCCCACCGAGGGTGTGGATCACCTCAAGCCAATCGCGAACCACAGACCGGGACACTAGGGCCGGGTGAAAGACCCGGGCCAATGGGAACGCGTGGGGCGGGGCCTGCGCTCCGCGCGGCGCCCTGCTGAGGGCCTGGAGGGAGAGCTCAGGAAGTGAAGTATTTGTAACCAAGTGCGGGCTTTGGGGCGGGGCCCGGGCGAGTTCCCAGCGCCTGGCGGAGGGGCCCATGGGCTGCGTCCTGGTTTCCCCCACCTGTGGCGGGGATTGAGCCGAGCCTGTCCTGGGGTAAAGGACCCTAAGGTTTTAACAGCCTTTAGCTAAAGCCTGGTCTACAGCTCTGCTTGAGGGACAGCGACTGTTACCGGAGCAACTTTCCCGCTCCGGCGCAGTGAAGGACCAGTGGGCCTGAGTGAGACCCAAGTTGTCCTCCTCCAAACCTGCAGAATTGTTTGAATAGGGATATTTTCCGGTTTGTGGAGTCACTTTGCACTGTGCCAGGACTCGCTTATAGGAGGACTCAGCGGAGAGCCTGAGATTTCGCCGACCACTGAAGACCGGTCATCCAGGGCAGGGGCTGATAGGTGGGGCAGGTAATCAGCCTGTGAAGACACTCCATAAGGAAAGTGGCCTGACTTTTCTCAACAAAGAAAGAAAAATGATTAGGACTGTAAGATAAACCTTCTAGCTCCCTCTTGTCAGATAAGGCTGGTCACAGAGGCCAGGAGGCAGTGGGTTAAGGGTGAGGTGACCATTTGAGGACATTGAAGGGATGCATCAAATGATTTTGGCTGTCAATGACAGTCCCTCCACATGCAATAACAATGACCTCAAAGAAACAGTGGACAGGGTATACTTTCCAAAATACTGCAATTTAATTCTGAAAAACATAAATGCTAGCTAGAGGCCCAGAGCTGTGTATGTGATTGGATCTCCTGCAACCTGCCTTGGGCCCCAGAAGAGACTTGGCAAGGTCAGCTCCTCCCTGCTCTTCATGGGAAAGGCCAAGGAGAGTTTTCTTATCAGGCCCGAGTTGGAGCTGCTATCTGCTCCGAAAGCAAGATTTCTGCGTTGAAAGCAAATGCCGTTGCCTAGAAATGGGCAGTGCATACTTCTGCCTCCTGCCTCCCCCACATTTGGCCTGCAGACCTGGAGTGAAGGTGCATATGGGTCATGACCTGAACATCTTCTGTCCAATTCCAATAGCTGGAGTCAGAGCTCTGGGAGACACGTGACCAAGGAGGCCACATGAACTCCTTGCTACCCCTCTCCCCTCCCCAGACTTACCCACATTGCATTGGTTTACCCAGAAATGAATGGCCTCCCAAGTCCTAACCTGACTCAGTAGAAAGGAAGATAAAGCAGTTCTGGGCCTGGTGTCAGAGACCTTAAAAAAAAGGCATGGGTGGTAGAGAGGAGGCGGAGCTTGAGTTTAAGGGGATAGGTGAGGGCTGAGGCTTGCTCAGTTCTCCTGCACCTGCTTTAGGAGCCAGGGATTTCTCTTTATCTGGCCCTTAACCCAGGAGAGCTAAGCACTGCTGCTGCTTGGAGAAGTTGCCTGTGCCACTGTGCACCTGCCAAAGATTGGGACAAGAAGAAAGATCCTTTTCTACTTCTGATCCAAGGTGTCTAGGGGCATGGGAAGAAAGGTAGCTAAGACAGGGATTCAGAGGGGAGGGGCACCCCAATGTGCTCGAGTGCTGAAGGAGAAGGGGCACGCTCCTGTAGGGGTGTTAGTAAGGCCAGAAGTAGGCTGTCAGACATACCCTGGTCTCTGCTACTTTACTTTCCTCCTTCCAATCTACATGTCTCTCATCTTCCTTGGGGCTTTTGTCTAGCTCCCAGCTAAGGGCCCACCTTATTGGGAGAGCAGAAGGAAATGAAGGCTTGGACTCCTTGGCCTCTCTCCAGCTGAAGAGAGTGCTGATGGGTTCACTATGTGCCCTTGCACCCCAAAGTGCATCCGTGTCCCCATGTTCTGAGCTGGAGCAATGCCACCCTTATCAGGGCTAGGAGGAAGGCCCAGCTTCTTAAGTCCTAGCTCCAAATCCTAGAAGGCAAAAAGACCACCAAGTCCCTACCTTGGTTTCCTGGGCACCCTGGTACCTTTTCCTTTTTTTTTGTGGTATTAAATTATGTACCATTAAAATAAAATATAAGTATTTTACCCACCCTTGGGATGCAGGGAAGCTACAGGAACTAGGATGGGAGGGGGAGTAAGCTCCCTTATGGGAGGGGGCTGTGTACTGGTTTCCCCAACTTTCTCCCCATTGGCTCTGCTGCTCAGAGTAAACCAGATCTGGGGGAGACAGCTGCATCCCCATGGGCCTCTGGAACATCTTCTCTGCTCCTTTGGCTTCACACAAAGGAGCAGCAGCTGGTACGCTTCTTCTGGGACTCCACATAGTCTCGGAGCTGGAAGCTGGGCTCATCAGCCTGCTGCCCTGCCCGGTATTTCAGCTCCCTTGAAGAGGAAGAGGTCATGGGTTGGGTTGGGCTGGGCTGGCCTGAGCAGCCCTCTGTCTCCCTTCCCATGGCTTGGAGCAAAGGGAAGACAGCAAGCAAGATGCAGGGGGGCCCAGGGGCTGGGTAGTTCCCTTCCCCTGTTCTGCTCTCACTTGGCAATGGCCAGAAAGGCTAATTCCACATTCATGCCCGTCTTAGCGCTGGTCTCCAAGAAGGGAACTCCATACTCCTGCTCAGGAGAGAGTGTCCTCAGAGCCAGCCTCTGATTGCCCCACCCCTTACCCTGCACCCTAGGCAGTCACTTACCCTGGCCAGTGTTTCTCCTTCCTCCGAAGGGATCACCCTTTCACTGCTCACATCCGCCTGTCAAGGCCATTTGGGTTATTCTGGGGAAGAAAGCCTTGACCCTAGCTGGCTGGTCTTTTGCCCCAGGAGCAGGCCCTGCTTGCCCTCTGCTGGTAGCTTGAGGGACTGCTAGTACCCAGAGCCAGGGTTTTGGCCTAGTTTTGGGATCTTAGCCTTGGCTTGGGGAAGTGGGTAACTCTCATAGCAAAAGCGAGTGGTAAACTAGCCTCAGAGAGGTGATAGAAGTTCAGGCTAACCCTTTGCAGTCTTATCTCCAGACCTGAATTCTGTTCCCTATGGGGTCTGAAAGCTGACAACCCTGGATCTCTCTGGCAGCAGCCTGGGCTTTCCCTGGAAGAGGCTGTTTTCCCAGAGCTTTAAGAGAGCAGCTGGGGGGCAGTGCCTATGGTTCGGTGGGTAGGGCACTGGCCCCATATATCAAGGGTGGCGGGTTCGAACCCAGCCCCAGCCACTGATGGATGAATCTGTCCAGCAAACTGCAAACAAACAAACAAAAAATAGCCAGGCATTGTGGTGGGTGTCTGTAGTCCCAGCTACTCAGGAGGCTGAGGCAAGAGAATCGCTTAAGCCCAAGCTGGAGGTTGCTGTGAGTTGTGATGCCACAGCACTCTACCCAGGGCAACATAGTGAGACTCTGTCTCTGGGGGAAAAAAAGAAAAAAGAAAAAAAAGAAGAGGGCAGATGGGATGGGTGGAAGCTGCTGGATATGTTTGACCCCTGAACTGGAGACCAGAGAATCCTTCATGGGGTGGGTGTGGGGGAAGGATGTCCATACAACTATTCTTGGGTGGCTGCGGGCTGGGTGGTGCCAATGCTGTGGCCAAGGGAGAGGAGGTGCAGGGCTGGATTGGGCCCTGCCATGGAGCCACTAACCTTGTTGCCTAGCAGCATGATCACCACGTCCCTCTGGGCACACTCATGGATCTCAGTGAGCCAGGCCTGTGGGAGAAGCATGCTGAGACAGGCCAAGGCTGAGGATTGGGCCATTCCCCCCACCACCCTTTTTTCTTTGGCCCTGTTTGATTCTCCTCAGTTACTTGCTATACCCTGAATGCGATACCCTGTGCATTCTCTCATCTGTGCCTTTGTTCCAGCCTCTCCAATCCTGGGGAGGATTAACCAACTTGATCGAACAACTCCAATCAGTACAACGTCCAGTTTTATGGCAAACAGAGATGGCATGGAGATGTCACCTCACAAATCAGTTGGTGGTCACCAGTGACTTTCTGAGGTGCTCTGCCAAGGTTTCTAAGACTATATAAGAGTTCAATGATCGAAAGTACTGAGATTGATTAGTGATGTCTGCCATGAGAATGGCATTGAAAGTGGAAGTAAGAGTGTCATGGATTTTCCATTCTGTTTATATCTGTATGTCTTATTCCCCCCATTAAACTGCCCTTGAGGTCCGGGGGGGGGGGCACATGAAACCCATACTATGTTGTGCACAGAGTTGGTGCTTGAGTTCGTGGAATTATTGTATCTACTCTCTAATAGTTTTATTGTGAGGACACAAACACTCTATGTCTGCATGTGTTACTTTTTTGCAGCTCATGATGGATGAATGTGTAGACTTTTCTGGTTGGTCCTTCCCCTTGTTCTCTGTGGATAACTGTCCAGGGTGGAGCCACGGAGGTTCTGAACACTTTGACATGAAACACGCTCATGAATTGCAGGGCTATGCAGGTGGCACAGGTCACAATAGTTTCCTTGGCGTGCATGACCTTGTAGCCATTACTAGCAGTAGATATGACTTCTGAATCACAGCTCGGTATTTTTAAGAAGGTGGCAGTATTCCATGCCCTTCCTCCTTCCCATAGAGCAGGAAGCAATCCCAGCCTGCACAGGCCCTGCCTTGGCTCCTTGGATGGGAGCCAGGGGAAGGGAAGACCTACCCTGATGTTGTCAAAGGAAGATTTGTTGGTGATGTCGTAGAGCAGGAGCAAGGCTGGAGGGGAAGAGGGATCAGAGGGGACTTAGGCAGTACAATGGATGCCACCAAGGGGCTAGGGTAGGGGTCAGTGGGCATGAAGGTCTTACCCTGGGCATCTCTATAGTAAGCATGGGTGACGCTGCGGAATCGTTCCTGCCCTGCAGTGTCCCAGATCTGAGGAGGGATGGAGAAATGGCTGGAAGGAGGCAGGGTACAGGGACTGTGCTGGATGGAGGGGACCTGGATTGTGGTATGAGATGCCTGTAGGAAGGTGGGGCTGTTTCCTTCTTTAAGTTCTTATGAGCTCCTGAGCATCTTATGGCCTCTTGGATTGTGGTAATTATTGAGTTCTCAATCATTAAGTGCCCAGGGGCTGGAGTGTCCAACCTCCTACAGCTGAGGAGGCCCAGGAAACTGGGGAGGCCCAGGAAACTGCGGGGTGATGGAGAGAGCTAAGTTTGTCTAAAGGCATTTTAAGCTGTCTTTGATAGGAGAGAGGGTGCCTGGGAACTGCTTTTTCTGCAGACATCAAACAAACAAAAGCCATTTCCTCTCATGAGCCCCACAGGAAATTACCCCAGGCTGAGGGCAGGGCTGCAGGCCTCCTGTGGCTCAGAGTGGCGAGCCTCCACCCCCTGCCCTGTTCCCAACCTCTGTTCTCACCTGTAGTTTCACCCTCATGCCGTCCACAGTTACCACTTTGTTCTGAAAGAGAAAAAGGTAAAGAGGGGCGCAGGAGAGGCTTGGCTCCTGAGCTCTGCAAACACCCAGGATGTTTAGGTCCCTCTCTAGGCCTACTTGGGGTACAGTGAGTCCCAGAGATGTTTGAAGCCAGATCACCCCACCAGTGTGGTAGGAATGCTGCCCCCAGATACTTCCACTGTGGGGTCGTCTCTTCTGGGGACCGCATCGCCTCTTCTCACAACACAGCAGGTCATAGGGAGCCTGAGAAGCTTCTGGCTCCCTCCCCAGCTCAGCAGACTGCTCAGAGCCCTGCCTTGTCCTCGCATTGCTCTTCCTCTCCCAGCGCTCAGCCCCAGGACTGTGACCGAGCCCTGAGTGGTGAGGTGCCCACCCACAAGCTGTGGTCCTCAGGGGAATCATCTTTCCCCCAGCTGCCCACTAAATCTCACTGAGGGAGGCGCTAGCAACCCACCCCCTTGGAGCTGCATAGCCCTGTCTGCTAGAGTTAGACCAGTGCTCTTCCCAATGCTCTGGGTATACAGTGCTCAGTATCCCCGACACAGATCTGTGAGATGGAGATACTGGGATGAGAGAGGGACCCCTGTCAGCTGCTCTTTCCCCACATGGCCAGCCTAGCTCATAAACCTAGTGTAGTGCTGTGCCCTACTAGAAGCTCTACAAAGACTGATTGACCTTTGAGGCCCTGCCAAAGAGACCCAGCTTAGGGCATGATAAGCAAGGCTCCGAGGGCCAAGAAGCTCAGCTTATGCCATGCAGGTGGCTGCCCTGCTCAGGGGGCTGTCCCCCAGGAGTGGGGGAGAAGGAAGACACAGTCTCATTTTTCAAATCCTACAGGTAGTCAAGGAGCCTGCCCTGCCCAGATTCCTTTAACCTGGCCACCTCTGTGGGCCCAGGGGAGCACTCCTGGTGTCCTCTGGCAGTGAGGCACAGGAGTCCTCAGGAGCCAAAGTGGGTGAGGAGGCAGCCCCTGTGCCTGAGCCATTGCCTGGCTCGCTGCCTGAAGGAGGAGCCTGCAGCCACCTCACCCTGAAGTCAATGCCGACAGTGGCTATGAAGGTCCCGGACAGAAAGGCCCCGTCTTTGAATTGGATCAGGAAACAGGTTTTGCCGACGCCTGAGTCTCCCAGAAGCATCACCTAGGAGATGGGGCAGAGGCAGTTAATGGAGATGGGGGAGATGCTGGGATTCCAGGAGAGAAACCTGGAAAGAGGATCAGAGAGGGCTGGGAAAGGATGCTGACAGCACCAGGGGCACTGCTTCCGGAAAGGCTGCCGCCGCCCTCACTTTGCCTCTCCTCTCCGTGCTGCCTGGCTCAGCCTCCCAGGCTCTCCCTCTGTGCCCCCGTCCTCATCCAATTTCCTGAAAGCCCAAGTTGAGACCTTACCATGAATGAGTCCTTAACTGTGCTCTGTGGTGCTAGAGAACCACGGAGTCTCTGGCCACATTTGCCACAGCCATGCCATGCAAAGATTGCATCCCTGCCTGTGAGTATTCACTTGTGTACACACGTGGGCTGGGCTTTACTGACAGGAAAGGGGCGTGGAATACCCTGGACAGAGATTCCTACCTAGGGGAGTCTATCGGGACTGACTGGGGGAAGGACACTGTCATTTGTTTATCTAGAATTACTGGTTATTTGTTTTGTTTGGGGGTATCAGAACATTTATTTGGAAGTTTCTAATGACATTTTATATTTATAAAGGGGCTGGATGAGTTAGGGAAGGTTGAAATTTATAGTGAAGTGGGGAGATGTTTAGTCTGAAGTTCTTTCAGTAGAAACTCTTAAAGTGGGACAAATGGTTGCAAATTGGCACCTCTGAGTCATTGGAGGTAGCATGGGCGGAAACGCCAGGGAGGCTGCATGTGGGGGAGGGGCAGGGCCTCCCCCCCACTCTCTGCCCAGGGTCTGCTCTTCTTCTCCAGGGAACATGCGCAGAAGGTGGAAAGCAGCCCTTTGTCCAGCCATTCTCTAGTTTGGGGGGACTGGATCTAGACCTATTGCTGACATTTTCCCAACTGACTAGTTAGAAAGCTTAATGGCTTGAGCAGGGACTAGGTTTGAATTATTTTAGAGGCTCTTAACTTGATTATGGAGCCCAAAGGCTTTCCTGTTGTGGGCAGAGGTGCTGGGCTTTAACTTTGGTGGAGAGGCACGGAGCTAAGCAGAAATTGTGTGACAGGCCCTGGTTTGTAAATGGCCTATTGTGTGACTTTGGGAAGATTCCTTAACCATTCTGTGGCCTGGTTTCTCCAGGAGGTAGAAGGGCTGAGGGATAATTTCTTTGAGCCCTTTCAGCATCTGTTAATGACTAGGGCTAATAATGTTGGTGTGGATCACCTAAGATTCAGAGAAGAGTGGCCCAGTGTCTGTCTGTGGCCACCATCCCCCAGTCTGGTCCAAGTAGCTCCTTCCAGGCTCCTCTCAGACCATCCTGGGTTTAGTCCCTTGGGGCAAGCTGGGAAGGTTGAGGGCCAACTCTCCTGCAGATGCTGCTTGGCTAAGGGACAGATAAAGGGGTGAGGGCCAGGAAGCCCTCTGAAGGCTGCACTCCTCCCTGGCTCCTGGGTCCCAGCCCTGGAGGGCAAAGGAGTGAGGGAGGGCCAGTTCCTGTGTACCTTACAGATCACAGCTGCCTTGTGCAAACGATGCTGGTCACCCACCCGTCTCTGCAATTCCACCAAACACAAACAGCGCCAGCCTCACCACCTCCTAGGCAAACAGCCCAGCTGGTTTGCAGGGCAACAAAGTCAGGGCATCTCCACTGGCCTGGGGGCTGGCCATCAACAGCTCCCCCACCCCTGATGGCACAGGGGCCCATTTCCTGCCACAAGCCCACACAGAGTGCCTATCTCAACGGCTCTGGGCGGGTGACTTGCAGAGTGGCTTCCCCTGAAACGGGTGGAGGCTGAGGCTCCCCGTGAGAGTGAGCCCTAGTGTAGGGGAGGAAACCAAGGCCTAGGTAGAGACAGGTGTCCTCCAAGGCCATGCAGTGAGATCCGCGATAGCCCTCACTTCTTTAGCCCCAGTGCTGAGGAAAGTGGGAGCTCTGGGCTCCTCAGCATCTCTTTCAGACTTTCTGGTACCTGCACACTCCAAGGGCACAGATGGAGGGGAGACAGACCAGTGTCCACTGCCGCCTCCGCTTGTGTCCATACAGAGCACGCCTGCAGAGGGAACAAGCCTCTGAGAGCCACCTGTCAGTCTTCCCAGGTGCAGGACGTTGGAGGAATCACTGAAATCGTTCCCGGGTTCTAAAAATTCCCAGGTGGGCCTGCATGCTGGCTAGCAGCATCCTCCGGAAGGAGGGGCTTCCTGGAGCTGGGGCAAAAGTGCCAGGCAGTGCCTAGAGGGGGCGGAGGAGGAAGGGTCAGGATTGGAGCAGCTGGGGTACCTACTGTTTCAGCCCTACGGCCTTGAAACCAAGTCTGATCTCAGCGCAGCTCAGAAAACAGCATTAACTGGGAGTTGTGCTGCCCCCCCCCCGGGGGGGGGCGTCCTCTCTGCGCCTCTAGGCAGTGCCCATCTCCTAGCATTTTCCTAGCCTGTGCCGGGAGGGTAGTGCACTCAACCCTCACCACGAAGCACTGGCCAGAGTGTGGCAAAAGGAAACCGAGTTGGGGTTGTGAGGTGGGTATCGCTCTGTCTTTCCGATCTTCCTCGCTCCCGCCTCAACCGAGCCACCCAGATTCCTACATGTTGGGATGGGCCCCTGGGCTATACCCTCACCCTCTCTTACTCCATCCCTCCTCAGGAAGACCCGGCTGCCTGGGGGTAAGGGCTGAGTCCAACCCAGACGCAGTGAGAAAGGGGTGACGGTAGGGGTCTCACAGAAATCGACGCGGGGAATGGAGTCCCCAGCGCTGCACGCACCTTGCCCGTGAGATCATAGCTCGGACAGCAGGGTGGGGATCGCAGGGGGGCCTCGCCATCCCGGGTGGCGGCGGCGCCAGGCGTGCCCGTCATGTCCCTGGACGAGAGGTGAGCTGGGCCAGCTGGGCGGCGAGGGAGAGCGCCGCAGCCGCCCCGCCCCGGCTCCTCCCACTCCTTCCTACCCGCTGCGGACCTGAACCGGTACAGGCTCCTCCCTTCGTCCCGCCAACCCCTGGACGACACTGGGTGGGAGCGGGTTATCCTGCGAGGGCGCTCGGAACCGCAGGGTCTGCGACGAGGGGAGAATGGACTCTCCGAGTAACACTGGCCAGGCTCCGCGCTCTTAGGGCATGGGCTAAATTCAACTCCAGGACTGGCCTTTCAAGGTCGCCAGCCGCGGGTTTAGCTGCCCATCGAGGTTGCGGGGCCGGAGACCCCACCTGCTGCGGAAGGGTTCTCACTGCGGCTGCGCAGTGTGACCAGCAGGCGGCGCCCGAGCTCCGGGCAGCTGGAGGTCAACAGGTGGCCATAGGGCGGGGGCGCCCCTGCTGCAAGGAGTCCATAGCCTGGGGACGCCCCTGCTGCAAAGCGGTTAGAGATGCAGCCTGAGTTCCGCTAATAGCCTCAGGCCTATTTTGCTAGCGCACCCAGGCCGAGCTCGTCTGAATAGTTTGTTTACTAACTGATACTATGCTCCACATTTACACTGCGGTGTTTTCCGGGCCTCTGGTTGATGCTGGGACTTTGACCCTTTAGTACCGATTACCTTTCATTTCTCCCTGACCTGGTGGGCTGCGCCCAGAATGTCCCACCTTGGGAGAGCCTTCACATAACTCCCGATCGAGGGCTCCTGAAGGCGGGGCCAGCCTTATTCACTTGTGGCCCTCATCCTGTCATGGCGTAGGGGCCAAATGAATTCTTGAACCCATGGATCCTTCTGAGCAGCGTTGCCGGGGTATCCCAGGAACCTTGCAGCTCCTGGTGACAGAAGGTGGGGAGTGTGTCTGGAGTTACTGGTAGCAGTGCTGGGGGCTCTGAGGCCTGGGGCAGTTGCGCCATCGAACATTCTATACAAGCACCTCTGAGTTGCAAAGGAACTGTTTGCAGGGTGTGTAGGGAGGGGAGGGGA